CTCGCACGTTCTCACCTCTCCTCACCGCGCCCTCTTCTGGTCCCGTCATCTCCTCCCATGGTCGCTCGCTCCTTCCTTCCTTCCTTCCTTTCTTTCTTTCTTCCTTTCTTCCTTTCTTCTTCCTTCCTCTTTCTCGCTTCTCTCCTCCTTTCTTCCCTCCTCTGCTCTCTCCTCCTTCTATCGTCCATGTTCCTTCCTTCCTTCTTCCCTCCTCCTTCCTTCCATCCTTCCTTTCCTTCCCCTTCCTTCCTTTCCTTGTTCGCCTCCTCCTTCCTCCTTCCTTTCTTCCTTCCTCCCTTCCTTCCTCCATTCCCTTCCTTCCTTCTTCCTTGCCTTCCTTCCCATCCTTCGCCTTCCTCCTCTTTCCATTCGCTTCTTCCAGTCCTTCCTCCTCCTTCCTTCCTTCCTTCCTCTTCCGATCCTTCCTCCTCCATCCTTCCGCTCCTTCCTCTTCGAGAGAGAGAGAGAGAGAGAGAGAGAGAGCGCGAGTGAAACAGAGAGGAAGGGAGAATGAGAGAGGGAGTAAGATAAATCAGAAGAAGAAAGAGGTAGATAGGGAGGGAGATAGATATAGAAGAAGAGGCAAATGGAGAAAGTCAGACGGATGGAGAGAGAGCGAGAGGGAGAAGGGGGTTAGAATGAATGAGACGAGTAGAGAAAGAAAGAGAGGGAGAGAGAGAAATAGAGAGAGAGCGAGAGAAAGAGCGAGCGAGAGAAAAAAAGAGAGAGGAAGAGAGGCGGACTGAAGAAATGAGCTTAGGGAATGTTAATGGACCTCACCTTGAACGTCGCATGGGAGGGAAAGACAATAGTTAGTCAATCTCACGACTACTACATATGTACAAATACACGGACGCGCGAGCGAGCGAGAGAGCACCCCCCCCCCCACATCTTCCTCCGTATGTGGTTGTTGTCTCCACAAGGCCGCCAGAGTCCTCGCCTAAACCAGCCACCTACGAACGACAGCACACACGCACACGCACGCACGCACACGCACCAGCAGAAGGAGAGTAAGAGTTAGCGATGACAGATGAAACACAACAATACATACATACATGTGGTTAGTCATCACAGTTGTTAGTTGCCAAGCACTAGAAGTCTAATTGTTAAATTTACACGTGTTAGATTAATGTAAATTATAGATTAGATTATAAGATTAGATTATTAAGATTAAGATTAAACTAATATTAGACTAGCGACCAAATGAAACGGTTGCCGTTACCAAATTTCGACTAATGCCGCACAACAGTAATCTATGAGCAAGACACACAATTACTTCATTAGTGTTAGTGTTGGTCGCGATATCGACGCCTATGTCATAAGAAATAGTGAGAAGTGGAGACGACATCTTAACTCTAACAACAACTTTTGCAAAAACAGCTGGGAAATAAAGTTAATTAGGAAATTAAGTTAATTAGGAAATAAAGAACTCTTAAGAGTCTTAGAAATTTAGGAACTTTAGGGAATGATATGCACAAGTATATTTCATTTCTGCGTCCCCTGACAACTGGCCCCCTAGGTATTGGGGCCAGTTGTATATATGTAAATATATAATATATATGTACATTTATGTGTATTCACGCAATCACTCACAAATACCAAGCATGGTAAATTTAGGTAATCGTACTCAGGGGAAATAATTTTTTTTTTAATTGCAATAAACAAATTGCTTACCTGCTGATCGACGTTCGGTGACTTGCAGCGAATGTCTTCAACACTGCTGTCATTGTTTCCCTGCTGCTGTTGCTGCTGCTGCTGCTGCTGCTGCTGCTGTTGCTGCTGTTGTTGTTGTTGCTGCTGTTGCTGCTGCTGTTGTCGCTGTTTCGGTGAACGTGGCACCCTCTGGTAGGGATCACACGAACCTGCGGAACAACCAACAAGTGAACACACATGTGAACAACTAAACAATTTACCTATCAACGTGAGGGAGTGATTGACAGGTAGCTATGTGCAGCTGCAGCCAATCAGCATTGTCGTAAGGGTGTTCTAAAACGTTGCTTAGTAACAAATTGCCTCAAACCCAACATGCACATACACACATGTACATATATGTATGTATATATAATTATATATATTATATATATATACATATAGGTTTTTGCACATGTATATACACACATAAACACGTACAGATGTGTACAAATACATGTATCATGTGTATTTACAAACACGTAAATGCACGCACGCACGCACGCACACAGGCACGCAGGCACGCACGCACGCACGCACGCACGCACACAGGCACGCAGGCACGCACGCACGCACACACATAGATGCTGCAACGACTTGGCATGAAACACTAGCCCAGTTATTTCTGCAAACAGTTTAGCACGCAATCAGGCAGGTGGCGCCACGTACCATACACGTCGGGGGTACCCATGTGTAGCAACACAGTCTTCTGCACATAATCCACTATTGCTAGTCCATATTCATTGCCAAAGGCCAGTCTGCAGTCAGATATAGAGAGATAGAGATTAGTTCATTAATTAATTACTTAATAATTTATTACATTCATTCAAGTGTGATTAACACATTAGAAGCTCATAAGATCTGTTCAAGAATCCAGAAGATAGTGTTAATCTATAGATCTAGGTCAAATGAATAATAAAGAGTCAAACCTCCTTAGCAAAAACTTTGTAGATACATGATAGGTTTATTACCACAAAAATGTTTTCAAATGTATCATTTAAATTTTACGAACTGACACGCGATATCATCTCTTCAATATTTTGAAACTCCTCCCCTCCAGCTCTAGCACTTACAGTCCGTACTTACACACCCCACCCCATCCCACCCCTCCAGCTCTAG